GAACTTTGTCTGGGTTGAAAGTTTTTAGTATTTTGTATTTCTTTGAGGGCCCTTTGAGCTTGTGAGCCTTGACTATTGTTTTAGAGAAGTATGAATCTTTGGTCCCCTCATATTTTATTAGGATTTTTGGCTAGGTGCCCATATAATTCCTCTTTAATTTTGAAGATCATGGATAACTCAGGAGATATCTTGGTTGAGTGGAACTTTGTCTGGGTTGAAAGTTTTTAGTATTTTGTATTTCTTTGAGGGCCCTTTGAGCTTGTGAGCCTTGACTATTGTTTTAGAGAAGTATGAATCTTTGGTCCCCTCATATTTTATTAGGATTTTTGGCTAGGTGCCCATATAATTCCTCTTTAATTTTGAAGATCATGGATAACTCAGGAGATACCTTGGTTGTTATCATTTTATAGTAGCTATTCCTTAGAATGGGTATCTTTATTTATTATGGAAAAATCATCTTTTATTTCTGGAATGCCTGAATTATGCCTTGAATTTCTGAATTATATATTGAATTATTTTTTCTTATTCCATTCTTTATTATTTTTTTTAGAGACACCAATTGTAGGTATGTTGGATCACCTCTGTCTTTTATACCCTTTTCCCTCACTGCTTTAAGTACTTCACTTTTCTCAGCCTTTCCTCCCAGGGCCCTAATAATTTCACTAGGACACATTTCTGTTTAGTGACTTTAATGACTTCTGTATTTAGTGATATTATTTTCTATTCTTCTATCCCCTCCCCCTTATGTTTTGTTTTTCTGCTGAGGTCATCTCATAGCATTCCTGAACTTTTATAAGTCTTAGAATTTGGTTTATGAGATCAGTTATTTCATTACATTTTGTTAATTTATTGCATATACCATATCTTTGGTGAGTTTTCATTCATTTCTTTTTTTCTTTTCTCATAGCACTTTTGTTAAGGTCCTTTTTTGTTTCTTTAATTTTTTTTTTAACTAGGTAAGTTCTTTGTGAATTAGCTATTTGCAGGAGCCTTATGAGGGCCAGCAAATGAAGCCATATCCCATACTAATAGGAATTCTCATGACCAGAGAGAGCGTGTGTGTGTGTGCATGTGTGTGTGCATGTGTATGTGTGTGTATATGTGTGTAAGGGGTGGAATCCTCTCAGCTTTGCTTTTTTCTTGCTCTCTGGACCTTGGTGATGATCATGGTTGGTGCTCCTAGTATAATCTCTGTCTTCCTCACCTTGCCTCAGCAATAGACTGCTCCCTGCAAATATGGCTTGTCGTTGTGGCTTCTCATGTCATACCACACCGTGCCCAGGGAAACTTACTGCTAATCTACATATCTGTCGCTGTTGTCCCAGCAAAGTTATTGCTGGTTTGTTGCTAATAATGTTCTATTTATTTGGGGAAATGTACTTCTGCCATTGTTACTGTGATTTGTCACCTGCAGCTTCTCCAAGCATTTTCTTCCCTGTTGTCTGACCTTCCCCACAGTTCAACAACTCTCACATTTTGTGGTTTTGGGTTACCAATGTCTCCTAGTTTCCTTGGAGGTGAGGGTTTTTTGTTTTTTGTTTTTTGTTTTTTTTTGTAAATGTGCTCTTGTTGTTTTCTGGGTGAATTCTAAGAAGAAGTCTTTAGGTCAGGATATTATGAGAATACGGATCTAGTTTTTTCATATTTTCCTTCCCTTAGTTAAAAATCTTGTTATTTTTCTGTTTCTGTTACTTCAGTACTAAAGAATAAAATAGTTTTGCAAACAGCTTTTTTAGGTTGCATTTGGAATGATCATGTTAGTAATAATGTGTCACAAGGAACAAAATATTAGTCTCTTTTATTTTGGCTATTTCCCAAAGAATCCAGAAGTCAGAGGAGGTTAATGGAGGTAAAACCAGGATAGAGCATCATGGATTAATATTTATACACACGAGGCCTTTAGGTTTGTTCTACCTGTTTCCCAAGGAGACGACCTTGTGTTACTCCTGGGCTTAACAAGTTCGATATCAAGCGTCAATTGTGGTTACCCATTTATGACTTGCCAGGGTTCCTGTGATATTCTGTTGGCAATTTTATGATACTCAACTCAAGACTCTTGGCTGGATTAATGTTTGAATTAGACAGAACTTGCCTTGTACAGCAGCTGTCTACATCTAAGTATGAAACAAAAAGGAAGTCTAGCATCCTTTGTTCAAACACCAATATCCGGAAGTAGACAGAATGAGGTCATTTGTGGACTAAAGAAAAAGGAAGCTAAGGTACCACATATCTTTTAATTAGTTAACACGGTTTGATTTTTAAATACCATGGTACTAAAAATTAGAATATACAGCGATCTTCAAAAAGTTCAGGAAAATGTATGTTATGAAGAACCTATGGCAGCTGGTAAATGGCATGGTGGTTAAGGGTTCTGGACTCCCACATGGCCAACCGTGATTTGAGTCCCAGACTTGGCGACTTGCTTTCTCACTCCCCGCCCCCCGCCCTCTGTCCCTCTCTGGTCAAATAAAAAGAAAGAAGGAAAGGAAAGGAAAGGAAAGGAAAGGAAAGGAAAGGAAAGGAAAGGAAAGGAAAGGAAAGGAAAGGAAAGGAAAGGAAAGGAAAGGAAAGGAAAGGAAAGGAAAGGAAAGGAAAGGAAAGGAAAGGAAAGGAAAGGAAAGGAAAGGAAAGGAAAGGAAAGGAAAGGAAAGGAAAGGAAAGGAAAGGAAAGGAAAGGAAAGGAAAGGAAAGGAAAGGAAAGGAAAGGAAAGGAAAGGAAGAAAGGAAGGAAGGAAAGAAGGGAGAGAGGTATGGAGGGGGGGAGGAAGGAACTATGCATAGATCTCAAAAATTTGAGAGAGGAAAGTGGCATTACCACAAAGAATTTCCTGAGGAACTTCTGAGAAACTGACTCTGCAGGGAAAGGATGAGTCGGGTAAGAAAGTCCTATAAAATGAGATTTATTATACAAATGGGGTGGTTTTCCTAAAGAAATAACCCAAAAGATAGCATGTTTTCAAATGTGTAAGACACAGTACCCAGCTCTGCCTTGCACCACTGGTGGCCATCTTGGCTCTCTTGGTCAGTAAATGCCTCTGGGTCTCTCTTTGCATTCCTCTTTCCCATCTTTTCATTCCCCATTGACCCTGAGGACTGGGCATGGGTTTGTTGTTGTTGTTGTCCTGTAGTTTTTCTCCCTTTCATTCATGCTGAGGGTTTTCACTGTACAGGGAAACAAGCTCTGTCTCGTGTAGCCCAAGACCAGCTCCACGTCCCCAACAGCCTAAGGGACGTCCTTTTCTCACCTGAAAGTGTCCCAAATCAGACTCACACCTTCCTTCCTACTTCCTTCTGCCCCGACTGAAAACGTACCAGTCTGTGTTGTACTGTTATCTCTTCCTCTCAGTAGCTAACCATTTACAACATCAGGTTAATTTTTCTACAAAAGTTGGTTTCATCGCATCACCGTTTTATTTCTGTCACTTTTATCCAAGTTACCATCTCAACCGTGAATTGTTACTTTGTAACTGGATGTCCCCAGCCCCACCCTCCTGACTTTTCATCCATGTTATCTATCACCCCAGACTCATTTGACCAAGATTCCACTTCCATTGTGTGGTCCACCTTGCCTCAATGACTCCCTACTGCCTACAGGGCAGAGACTGTATTTTTCAGCCTTCCAAGTCCTCTGTAGTCTGATTTCAACCTGCATCTTTGGCTCTTCAGCACAATTCTCGCTCTCCTTCCCACATGCCATGTTATTTTAGTCCCTTAACTTTGTAGATTCTATTCTATTTTCCTGCAATGCCTTTTCTTTGTGTATCTCCTGTCTCTTTCCAAGTATCAAGCGATGGTTGAGACTAGATTGAGTTCAGTTTCTACCTTCTCTGAAGGCCCTCACCACTTTTAACCCCTTTGCCTTCCTGATGTTTCAGCCCTTCTGTAGTGTCAGCATATTTGCTGAGCGGTCTAGTCATCAAGCAGCCAACCCCACTCTGTGCCCGTGTCATACCTCGGCAGGTGCTGAGATGCCAGAATAGTCCAGACTGGGTTCCTGTTCTAGAGTGATGGTGCTATGGAGAAGCAAACAGGCAAACACAATGGGCGTGGGTTCCCCCACCTGGGGTGGCTTTGACAAAGTCATGAGCAGAGGAGAGAGCAGCCCGTGAGCTCTGCCCCAGGTGTAGGGATGTACGTTGGAACTGAGTTTTAAAGCAGTGGGGGGTGTCCAGGTGGAGACAGCACTCAGGCAGCCCTGGAGAAGATAGGCAGGAGGAGGGCGGATGTATTGTATGTCATGGGAGAAGGGGACCATGCGAGGAGGAAAGATGGCTGTTTTGTTGTTAGGAAAACAATTTTTTTGCTACTGTAATGCGGAGAATGGCTTCTGGGGGAAGAGGGAACTTCCACTGGAGAAAGGTAGCAGGGAAAAAAGAATTAGGAGAGCATTGTAACAGATACACGCAGTAGAAACCGAGAAGACCCTCCTGTACGTTGCCTGTGTCTGTGTGAGTGTATGTTTATCTCCTCAACCAGATTATGAGCTTGAGAGCCAGCATGCGTGATTATCTATTTATCTGTATAATGCCTCCTTCACTTGGTATGTAACTGTGCCCATAAAAGGTGATTAATGGGTGCTAATGACATGGCTTAGGCGCTGTTTATCATCTTCCCACCAGACTCTAGTGTGTAAAAAGTAGTGCCGAGCTCATTGTAGACACTGCATAATAATTTGTGGAACACGGCTGAATCTGTAGTATGAATCATTCAGAGCTGACTGTAAAACCAGGAAAGGATCAAATATGCAACAGCATGCAAAAATATGCAAAAGAATGCAATATGCTAACTATATTTGCATGCTTGGAGTGTTCGAAGGTGACTTTGTAAGTGAATGAACTGCGAGCTCCTGAGTGTGATTCCTGGCCAGGGCAGGGGCTTACTTACTCTGGTGTGGCTCAGAGGAATTCCAGAAGCAGAAGGCAGCAGTGACAGAAGCAACCGTGATGGTCTAAAGGATGCCTCTCTTCTGATGTGTTTTTCTTTCTCGCTGCTTCCTGCAGATATTAGAGAAGCTATTTCATCATGGGAGAAATAGAACAAAGGCCAACCCCAGGATCGCGACTGGGGGCCCCGGAAAATTCCGGGATCAGTACCTTGGAACATGGACAGAAGCCGCCCCCCACACCTTCAGGAAAGCTCATGTCCATCAAGATCCAGATGCTGGATGACACCCAGGAGGCGTTCGAGGTTCCAGTAAGTTGAGGGCGTATGCGTGAACCAACTGGGTGGGCAGCCTTCAGCAGGGGTGATCCACCTCAGTTCCATGTATGAGTGACATGCGGTGGCTGGGGAGGGTCTGTGTGTGTCCAGTACACACACTCCCTCCCCCTCCCCAGCATGCACCACTGACCCAGGTAGGTTCTGAGCTTAAGGAGTTTTAGACTTATGCACGAACCGCCCATATAGTCACTCGAGTTTACTCTGACTTCCATGCACACATATATATGTGTGTAATAATGTTTACTATATGTAATGTATATGTTATATATGTTTTTGATATGGACGGAAGAGAGATCGTGTGGATAGATCCAGTTTAGTTTGCTTGTCATAGACAATTCTCTCATGTGGGGTGAGTGCGTATGTGTGTGTGCGTGCGCGCATGCGTGTGTGTGTGCGCGAGCATGTGTGTGTCCATCCCATATTTGCATGTCCAGAATACTGACAAGAAAAATCCTGAGAAACCGGTCCCATATTTTCACATCAGGAAACCAGGAGATCTTGTTCCCGGCCGCAGAGGGTGGGGATTGTAGATATCCCAGGTCCCAGCCTTAGAAACAAGAGGCTGCCCATCTTGGGGGCAGGAAAAGAATGAGGTGGCCACCAGCCAGGGAGAAGGGGAGCCAACATCCTGGCCCTTTCCCCAGACCGACCCTATGCACGCTCCTCCGCGTGCTTGTCCCTTAGGCTGGTACAGGTTCAAGACCCCCACACACCTTGGGTCTGGTGTTTCGTGTTCTGTCTTGGGTATCAGACACTGCATCTCACATCGGGACCATGAAAATAACTCTTGAATTCCCAAAAGTCAATTTCTTTTTTTTTTTTTAAAGTATTACTTTATTTAACTTTTTATATACATATATATTATAATATATATGTATATATATGTGTGTGTGTGCATATGTGTGTATATATATATATGTATGTATGTATTTGGCCAGAGAGGGACAGAGAGAAAGTGAGAAAGCAAGCCGCCAGGTTCGGGACTCAAACTGTGGTCGGCCCTAGGGGAATCAAGCGCCCTTAACCATTGTGCCACCTGCCGCCCCCCCTAACAGTCAATTTCTAAACAAACTTGGGAAACACACCTTGTTTTTTAAGAATTATTTTATTTAACTTTATTTCATTTATTTGACTCATTTATTTTAATTTGACCAGAGAGGGACAGAGTGAGAGAGAGAAAGTGAGAAAGCAAGCTGTCAGGTCCGGGACTCAAACCACGGTGGGCCATGTGGGCATCCAGCACCCTTAACCACCATGCCACCTGCTGGCTCCCACACCTGTTTTTAAAGTGGAGATTATCTGCCTGTTACTCCCGTTGGCCAGTGTACCTGGAATGTAATAGCCGCGTAGCAACGTGCAACCAGCAGGCAGTGCTAAACGTAGCCCTCTGAGGTTTATCTTCCCCGAGATGCCTAATGTAAATTCACACTCTCTGAATAATACCCTTTAAAGAAATGTAACTGCCCGAGTCCTATCATAGCCACTAAATGAGGGGTTCCCTATGTGAACGCGGCTATTACATTCCAGGTACACTGGCCAACGGGAGTAACAGGCAGATAATCTCCACTTTAAAAACAGGTGTGGGAGCCAGCAGGTGGCATGGTGGTTAAGGGTGCTGGATGCCCACATGGCCCACCGTGGTTTGAGTCCCGGACCTGACAGCTTGCTTTCTCACTTTCTCTCTCTCACTCTGTCCCTCTCTGGTCAAATTAAAATAAATGAGTAAAATAAATGAAATAAAGTTAAATAAAATAATTCTTAAAAAACAAGGTGTGTTTCCCAAGTTTGTTTAGAAATTGACTGTTAGGGGGGGCGGCAGGTGGCACAATGGTTAAGGGCGCTTGATTCCCCTAGGGCCGACCACAGTTTGAGTCCCGAACCTGGCGGCTTGCTTTCTCACTTTCTCTCTGTCCCTCTCTGGCCAAATACATACATACATATATATATATACACACATATGCACACACACACATATATATACATATATATTATAATATATATGTATATATATGTGTGTGTGTGCATATGTGTGTATATATATATATGTATGTATGTATTTGGCCAGAGAGGGACAGAGAGAAAGTGAGAAAGCAAGCCGCCAGGTTCGGGACTCAAACTGTGGTCGGCCCTAGGGGAATCAAGCGCCCTTAACCATTGTGCCACCTGCCGCCCCCCCTAACAGTCAATTTCTAAACAAACTTGGGAAACACACCTTGTTTTTTAAGAATTATTTTATTTAACTTTATTTCATTTATTTTACTCATTTATTTTAATTTGACCAGAGAGGGACAGAGTGAGAGAGAGAAAGTGAGAAAGCAAGCTGTCAGGTCCGGGACTCAAACCACGGTGGGCCATGTGGGCATCCAGCACCCTTAACCACCATGCCACCTGCTGGCTCCCACACCTGTTTTTAAAGTGGAGATTATCTGCCTGTTACTCCCGTTGGCCAGTGTACCTGGAATGTAATAGCCGCGTTCACATAGGGAACCCCTCATTTAGTGGCTATGATAGGACTCGGGCAGTTACATTTCTTTAAAGGGTATTATTCAGAGAGTGTGAATTTACATTAGGCATCTCGGGGAAGATAAACCTCAGAGGGCTACGTTTAGCACTGCCTGCTGGTTGCACGTTGCTTTCTAGTTTTCTTCTGGTGGAATTCCTGTTTTTCAGGGACTTGGGAATGCTTTCTAGTGCACAAGGTCCTTGCAGATTTCTGGAACTGCGAAATACTAGCGGTGCAGCGGGCATCCTCTTGAATCAGGCCTCCCAGAACTGGTCCCCCCACCCCACCCCGATCCCCCCAGTGTTCCTTTGTTTTCCAGACTGGTTCAGTGAGTATCTGGTTTCGCTGTTTCCTGGCGAGTACTTCTGAGCCCAAGTCTCTAGCAGCACGTTCTACTAAATGGTGTCCCCGTCTGTGGCTGGGACTGAGGGGTTGTAAATGCCGCTGTTGTGAGCACCGACTCCAGGGATCATTGTGTAACTGCAGTTCTTCAGCTTTCTGAAATCACAGAATGGCAAGACTCCATTCCCAGCTACTAGTTAGCTATTAATAGTGACTGTATAGGAACTTACTGCCTAGGAAGTGCGAGCGAAAGTGTGTTTGCACCTTTGAAAATGATTTCCTTTATACATGATAATGGCTGTGCTCCTATGCACACTCAAAGGCCCTGTGAGTTTCACCCAGAAGCCTACTCCCACGCAGTCTGGAGCTTTCTTCCCTTCTGCACACCTTTCAAGGGGCACCACACTGCCTGGGTTGAAATCCCAGCCTCTCCTGCTGATAGCTGCGGAGTGTGGATGCGTTACCCTCTCTGTGTCTGTGTCCGCCGCTATAGAATGTGGCCGATAATAAACTCTACCTCATACTCTATGAGAATAAAAAGAGTTAGTGTGTCTGGGGTACAGAAGGTAGCATGGTGGCTAAGGCATAGACTCCCACATGGATAACCATGGTTCGAGTCCCAGACCTGGTGGCCTACTTTCTCACTTTTTCTCTCTCCCTATCTCTGTCTCTGGTGAGCACAAGTGCCCTATAGCAAATAAAAATAATAATAAATCAAATTAAATAAATAATTCTTTAAAAAACTATCTGAAACAATCCCTGGCACGTCTCGGAGCTTACTGAATGTGATTAGTAGAGTCAGTGTGTGTTTACACAGCTCTGCTGGCTCTTCAGGGCAGGGACCTGCCTGGGACCTCTGTGTCCCCAGCAAGCATGGCGCCTTGGTCCCTGGCATATCTAGTACATGCTCATTAAATGTTTGCAGACTGAATGTTAGAGTGAGTTTATCATGCAAGTGGAATTAATGCCATTTGTTTTTCACATTCCTCAGCCATCGATATTTCATTTCTGTTTGTTAAGTTTGTCCCGACTGTTTCTTCCCAAACCATGGGCAACTGATTTTCTACTTCTTTTTCTTTTCTTTCTTTCTTTCTTTCTTTCTTTCTTTCTTTCTCTTTTCCCCTTGTTTTTGCTATAGAGTGCATGGATTTGCCAGAGAGAGGGGGAAATTTTGAAATCATCTTCTAGGGGGATAGCCATGCTGCAGTCCTTTCTCCTCCATTTCCCTCTCTCTTACCATTTTGAACACGCATGCATATGTGCCTGGCGTGACTTTCAAGCTGCTGGGTCCAGGACTCAAACCATGGTCATCCGTGTGAGAGTCTAGCACTTTAACTTCCACGCCACCTGCTGGCCCCCACAGATGTATTTTTAACTGGCTGTGGTAGGCTAGGTATCAGCATTTTTGCTGACGGGAGCTGATTGTGAATAGCTGCCTTGCGCTGGTTAAGAACAGCCACAGGCATCCCAGCTGGGCGGCCTCAGGCCGGTGCTGACTCAGTCTTGCTTGGGACTGGGGGAGAGAGACTGCAGGATGGTGAGACAGGATCCCCTTTCTTTTTGAGAACTCATCAAGGCCAAGTGTCTGGCCCTGGCCGTGTCCTCCTTGCTCACATGTGACCTCTCCTTTGATGGAGTGAGTGAGTTCCCATCGCGCACTCACATTTGCCATGCAGACGAGCAGGGCTCATGGCCAGAAGTCTCGCAGTTTCCTTTTGGGGAAGATCCTCTGTGAACTGTGGCTCTCCCTAGGGAGTGGATTTCCTGGCCTTTTTGTTTCTTTTCTATTTTTTTTTTTCTTTTGGTAAGTGTTTTTTTTTTTTTTAATTATTTTATTTGTCATTATTGTTCATTTTTTTTATTTGACCAGAGCAAGACATAGAGAGAGAAAGTGGAAAGCAAGCCACCAGGTCCAGGACTTGAACTGTAATCAGCCATGTGGGAGTCTGTCCAGCGCCTTTAACTACCACGCCACCTGCCTACCCTCCTGGGCCTTTTCTAATGATTCTTCTCTTAAAATACTGACGAGAGCAAAGTAGTCATTTTACATGCAAATCCCGTGAGTGCTTCCTGGCTCAAAGACCCAGACCACACTCTCCATGGCTGTCTGCATTATTATTTACAGCCT